CAGCAATGTCCGGATCGCGACTTCCTCCACATTCGGGTAAGAAGTAAAACGGAAGATGAAGAAGGAGTGAATTGTCGCGAATACTGAGGATCCAAATCGAAAAACGAAAGCATACGTGATTTGATTACAGATGGTGGGCAATTCTGGAGGTGTAATATATTGAGGAGACCCTTTATCGAAAGTGGGTCACATACTTTAATCGGAATGTGCCGCAATCACCATATACACCGATCACCGGATCAATATCGATCGAGTGTGAATGACCACGATCAGCTTACTGCGCTATCTTGACGTGGACAAACATCGAAACCAGTACGTGCCAATATATATAGATATAGCAGTTGTGGCAAGCTCGTCGCGCTGAGTTGGGGCCTAGCTGAACGCTGAGGCAAGCGAATAAGTTATCAGCATTGAAGCTAGGATCTTTGATTTTTAATGCACAAATGCCGTCGCAGCACTTTAAATGGTTGCTCAAAGACTGTCTATAAAAGTACATTCGCTACAGACATATTGCAAGTAACGAGCGTCGTTTCGTAATCTCATGGCTTCGTTCCGGTCTATCAGACCGACCACCTGATCCACAGATAAGGTATCTCAGCAACTATTACTTATACACGCGCACTTTCTATTAGCTAATAAATACCGGTCGTGTCTTTCTGCTTGGTGCTTACGAAGTAGGTTCAATGCCTCGTCGTAGCGGCATCATGACGTCGGGACCTTAATTCGCTTACACTGATATTGATTTGTGAGAAATTTGTGGGCTACAGTCCGAAAGATACCAATAAATAGAAAAGCTAATCAGATTCGGCTGCTCTATAATCGCTTACTGTTCCAGGGCACCCTCCCGCTCGTACTGACACAGTACAAGATACCTTCACTGATACAGCGTGGGCAGGTGCATTAAGCTTCACGTACACTGTGCGCGTGGCACAGGAACTCTGATCTTCTGTACTTGAGCATTAAAAAGAAAAAGTAGTAGAAAAGGTTTTTGTTTATAGGAATTGTTTTTTCCACGACACTTTTTGCTATTTCCACCACACTTCAAGATGCCATCTATCGTTCCGCTGGATCCCAACTGCATTCCACCTGTAGTTGGTCAAACGCGTCCCGCTTCCTCGGTGTTTCCTGTCTATCACAAGGACCGACTTTCGCTATTCAAACAAGGCGCCAAGGTTACAACCTAGTTCCACACGCGGATGGGTGCGCGCATGGTCCGATCATTTGATCGTGAATGCGAAATTTGCCTTCAGTCCAAAATCCTTGAGATGATCTAAAAGCGCGTCTAGATTCGCAAAGACGCTTTGTGTGTTGAGTTTGGCCATAATGTGGTGGTGTGGTAAAATAATGTGGTGGTGTGGTGCTGTTTTAATGTAACAAAAGTGATGGTGTGGCGGAAGTTGTTAAAAGTGTGGTGGAAATAACAACCCCTTTTATAGCTCAAGTTTTCTAAACGCATCCTCATCACCTTACTAAAGATATAATCAGACTGCACATTCCATTTGTAATTACTCGCTCGTTACCCATTGCACGCGTCTGGCAGCGAAATGTGGTTTAGTTGGTTGATCTCACGGCCTATGTCAATTAGTTCGTGGAGCGGTGCCGAGCATGACATTCAAAGGTCGTTCCTACAATATCAACTTAGTAAGATCAATATTGCAGAATAGTATCAATCACGATTATACTCACATTGACCCGTTCTACTTTGGTGCCAATAACATGAAATGGGCTCACCCCGTTACACTCACTGGATACCAAATACGCTCTTTTACACAGGCTGTTCGCTTACCTGTACGTCTATCATCACCGTACGACGGACCGACGGACCGACCGACATGGGAAAGAGCAAATGGAAGCAAAAAAAGATCAGTAGAGCGCTCACGCCATCAGAGTCCGAGTCATCCGGTACAACGACTGACACGAAACGTTTACGTCCTGACAACAACAAGCGACAAAAAACATCGCAAATGACTGGACATGCTGAGTCCGAGGTGGACATGGCTACGTTGAGCTTTGCTGACGCCTTATCGGCTGGTCTGGCCTTTGAACAGCTTCATTCGTACGATGGGGCGGTGGAGGCCTTCCAGCGTGCAGTCGAGTGCCGGCCGAATCATTTGGAGGCGCTCACACACCTTGCAGATAATTATGTTTCAGCTGGAGACCCGGACAAAGCTCTTCCATTATACATCAAGGCCAGCAAGCTAAAAGGTGGCCAGGAGGATGCATCCATCTGGTTTCGACTTGGCTTGACGTACGCTGCAGTTGATCAGCTGCCGCAAGCAACAAACGCCTATCAAACATCGATGAGAACCAATGCTATAGCGTTGGAAAAGGTCAATGGTGCTGATGAAAATAGCAAAGAACTCAGGAAAGCGTACAGCATCACACTTGCAGCACTTGCTGAAGCTTACGGAGAGCGTGGAGATCTGGACTCGGCGGTAAAGGTGTTTGAAGATGCGGTGGTCAAGTTGCCAGACTCTGCCAATATGCAGTACAACTTGGCCAATATGCGCATGGCGAGAAGCAAAAGCATGGCGGATGAGGCGTTTGATGCAGAGGTGGTGCAACGTTTAGAGCGGGCGATTGAACTTGATTCAGGCTCACGCGACTTTGTTGTCGATCTGATCGAGTACTTGGAGCAGCACAAGCAGCGGCCAGATCGGCTTTGTGAATTGAAACGGAAAGCTGCGGAACTAGAATCTGCCACGACCACGGTGACGAGTGATATAGCTGAAGGTAAGGATGAAGGGAGTGCTACGAGTGAGGAGGAAGAAGATAGCGAAGATGAAGAGTGAAAAACGAAGGGGGAAGAGCAGCGAAGCCCGCTGACTGGTCGACTTGTTCCCTAGACAACGAGAACGTATTGAGATGTCATGGACGACGGCGACAATGAACAGCGGACAGTTCAGGCACTTCGTCGATCGTGGCATCAAGCAATGACGGTCCAGATCGAGGAAAAATCGTACGCGCTGCAATGACTAAGCGATTATACAACACCATGGAAAAATAACCCTACACGCCCTCTTATCATACACTTGTCAGAGCACCGTCAAAGGCTTCGTACTCCAGACCACGCAGCGTCCAGCCACGCTGCAGTGTCAGTACTTCCAGTATCGGTTTCTTCTGTCGGAACGCACGAAGCCAATCTGCTGCCAGCTCGCTCGCAGCATGCTCAAGATTACTCGCTGCGCTGACAAAACTGTTTCGGGTCACCCGGGCTTTGGCCTCGCGTCTCAACTCCTCATACCTCTTTGTCATGAACAGCTGCGTCCAGCGATTAGCAAGTATTTTGATGTCCAGGTCTTCCATCAGTGGCAATGTGTTTGTAGTGCCCCTGGCAATGCTTCGGACCGCCGTTGCTGCACTCTTGTAGTCCTCCTCAGCGCGGTCGTAACGTAAAAGCAGACTCTGCAGGTCCCCGCGAAGTACGTGCGCCTCAATCGATTCGCGTGAACTCTCTGGTGCAAAATTCGCAGCGATATTGCATGCACGCAAAGCATGTTGTGTGGCCACAGTGTCGTGTTCGGACTCGACCACGCGTCGAGAGAGCTTTGCGCATAGACGGAGTCCAGTGTGCACGTACTCGGGAACCAGAAACGGATCGGACGGCCATAAGTCTGCGCCACTTTGTCCATCGCTCTTCGTGCTAGTAGAACCACCACCCTTGCCCTCACTACTGCCACTCCACGCATCCCCCAGAGCAGCATCGTTCTCGACTGCCAACTCTCGCCCCGTCGTCATCGACAACATCGACGACGAGGCAGACACCACAAGTGCTACTTGCACGAGAACACACACAAGCACCAGACTGGCCAGCACAAACTTGGCCGTCCTCCACCAAGCCTCTCCTCGTCCCGCACTGTTTTGGATCTCAGGATGCGTCAGCGTGTCAATCGCGCAGCCAAATCGTCTCCGAAACGCTGCGTCAGCTTGCCAATAGTGTCGCTCCCACGTGCGCTTGTCCTCACTCGACTTCCACCACCTCAAATCATCGTCCGGTTCTCGCTCCACCTCCTCCCTCCTCCTCGTCGTTTTCTTTGTCTTCCTCACGTCGTTTGTTCCACAAACAGTCTCCTACTTCACTACAGTCCTCCTCGTCCTCGTTCAGTCTCTCGTCCTCGCTCTCGTCCCACGAGTCGTCGTCACTCTCCGAGTCGTCATCTAGCGAACGAGACGTAACCAGACGGAAAACGAGCACATCACGCCACGATATGAGCGCTCTACGTGGGACTTTGTGCGACATACGGTTCTCGACCGTCACGTCTGACTCGACCTGGTGGTCGTCGTAATGCGTACGATGCTTCCGGTCGTTGGCCGACGACGCAGCCGCAGTCGTTGCTACCGCACGACGTGAGCACGAAGTGGGTCGATGACTAGCGAACGGAACGCCTCGGTGGCGACGTTGATTGCTATCGATCGAAGGCGTCGAGACCGCAAGCATCGTGCTCGAGCGTCACGTGTTCCGGCGGGTCTGTCTGTGACGATGATTACTATGCCGCTGATTCTTCTCCTTATGTTTGTGCGTTTTTTGCGACGTTCAATGCATAAGTTCAGTGTATCTCGTCCCTATACCCCTCACACAACAACCACACGAACAAAGAAAAGCTGATCGCGTAAGTGGGGGTCTCCAGTATACGTATAGTGCCACGTGAAGTCTTCATAATTGGTCTTCACTCAATCTAGATAATTCGCTGGATCATTTGCGCGAGCCGTCCGACGACGTTATCGCCTTTTCCACCAATCCGAACGCATTCATTTGCTCGCGTCACCGTCGTTGTCACGATTCACGCTGAACCTCACGTGCCGAGCATTTCTCCGAATTATCCGGTTCGTAAAGCACGCGCTTGTATTGGAGTCACGTCTGGCTGCCAACAAGCCATGACGCGTGGAAACCAGCGGGACACGGACCGTGCGGTACGAACGGCACTTGTCAATACTTTCGACCGCGTAACGTGTGATGTAGCGATCAAATGTCGACACTCTTGACACTAATTGCAAATTGTAATGACTTGTCACTTTTCGCTCGTGGATGGCTCCTACAGCGTGCTCAGGCGCGTCAAGCGAAGCATAATCCGAGCGGGAGTCAGGGCAATCCGTTGGCGAAGCGGGAGGCGGACGCCAAGGCGCTGCAGGAGAAGATTGCGCGGAAAGAGAAGCTCAAGGCAGAAGGGGGCGATGTCAGCGGGAGCGGTACCAAGGGCAAGAATGGCAAGCAGCAGCAGCAGCAACAGCAACCGAAACAGCAGCCGCAGAAAAAGAAGAAGTAGAGATGTAGATGACCTGGCGACGGGTCGCCGGGTATAGAGCAAAGGAGTCGGACGTGGAGGTGATGGAAGCGAGCACGTGGATCGTAATACACAGAGGGATAGCTGAGGCTGGTTGTGGTTTGAGAAACACGCTAAAAGTCGTGACTGCACAAAAGGTTCTCGAAAAGAGCAGGGCAGGAGGAAGAAACTTGACTGCTGGTTCCGATTGACTCAGGTCCGCGGCCCCTGTCACGACTGTCACCGCGCTATGTCAATACGTGAAGAAGCTTCAGTTTCATCTGTCACTGTGCTGCCTGTCACCCGAAGTGCTATTGCACGTACCTCAAAGGTGGTAAAAGCACGACTGGTCACCGCTATTGGTTCCAGTAGCTTCTCTGCTGCTAGGCCGAACCTCAGCAACACCAGCAGTAAGTGCTGGTCGATTATTGGGGTCGACGGACCTCGTCAGCAATCTCATCGTAGAAGTTGAATAGCTACTTGCTGACAAATAAAATGGGCCAGTGGCGAGTCGCGATAGCTCAAGTTCGTCTTCTTCGAAGCACATGCATACGAAGAAAGAGCCCACGTATTTGCCCGCGCAGATTGTCCGTCTCTTTTTCTCGAGGCACAACAGCTTGGAGTGCTCGCATCTCACGTGACGCCGTGGTCCTACGCAATAGCAAAAGCGTCGGTTTAAATCAGTACAAAATCGTCAGTTTCGACATTCGCGTCAACATCGACTGAGATACTAATGGACCCTGCGACGTACGATGAAGACGCGTATCACTCCGAGCTTTTGCGCAAGATGCGCATGAGTGAATCGATCGTATACCAGGCCATCTTTGCTCCGGCAACCGTTACAGGCGGGGAGACAATGCTGGTGGCTGCAACGAGCTCGGGGATGATCCACGTCTATCGACTCAGTCCAGTCATGACCCTGCAATACTGGAATCAAGTCAAGTGTGGCGAGTACGGTTGCGACTGTAAAAAGTCAAATATTACGCACAATATCATGTACTGACTTGTGGTATTGATATATGACACGCTCGCGTCGATTATACACCATCTGCAATAGGTCGACAGCTTTTCCCGGACCAAGTCTTTCGTTCCAGGCACACCCAACGCAAATTTATTCCCTCTGCTTTGCCGGTGATGCAACAAACCCATTACTAATCAGGTACGTGGACGAAATGACTAAGCTTGTAGGTAAGAATCAGTGGCTGGTGAAAAGACGTTGATAGACGTTGAGAAATGGTCTGTTGTCAGCGGAGGAGACCAAGACTTTCGGGTGTGGAGATGGAAAGACATCTTGTTGACCATGGAAGATCCTGCCAACGTCAAGAACCTCCTGGCGGTGCATGTCGGATACTTGAAACGTCAGTCGCTGGGGTTCAGAGGGACTTTGCTGCCCGCAATGGAGGTCAATGATGTAGTCGTGAGCAAGAATTCTGGACACTTATTCTTGGCAGGTGGAGATAGTGTGGCACACGAGTGGGATGTAGTGACACAGCAATTCACGCGGCTATTTGAGGGCCACGAGGACTATTTGCATGCTGTGCGTGATTTGCATCACTCTCAGGAGCTCGCGACAAGCTCTGAAGACGGCACGCTTGGCATTTGGGATGTGCGTCAGGCCAGAAACGTCGAGTTCCTACGTCCATGGCAAGCCACAACGTCGTCGATGTCGAGCTCATCACCATCGCCGTCGCTGTGGATTGGTGCTGTCGCTCACGATGACTCCGAAATGTGGCTAGCATGTGGTGGTGGTACCAAGCAACCGACCGGTGGTCGATCTCGTAATGCGCAAGCAACTCGAGGCTTCTTGAGCATGTGGCATTTACCCTCTCGAGTGCCTGTGCACTATACCACGACGACGTGCGATGTGCATGACGTTGTGTTTCACCATATGGACCTGCTTAGTGTGGGAAACGATGCGAGCCTGAAGAAGTGGAACCGCAGCTCTGGCCAGCTGCTATCGGCTGCAAGGTCGACGGTATTGTCCAGCCACTTTTGTGCAGTCGACCGTGCCACGGATATCGTCGCAGTGGGTGGCGCTGCACCTCTCATTGATATCTACACGATGCCTGGCGTCGTGAGTTTCTCACTGGTCGTCGACAGTGAGTCGAGCGCTCGAGCAAGTTAGACTGGTGACATTAGAACAAGGTATTGGACCCGTGGGAAAGCGCTTTACACCGACCAGATGACTTTGGTGAACTGTGGTTGACCTGACAAGGTGTGCGCTGCCCCGGCCCACAACCCGTGTTTCGCTGGGTCGCGCTTCATTTTGTAATTCGAGGCAACTGCGACGGCAAATAATGGCATCACATGACCAGTTTGTATCGCACCCGTGGACGATCGCAGAATCGATTGTGAAGACGAGGACGCGGATGTTGTACGTCCCGTAAACGTGGAGTCAGTACTTTTGCAGTCGCTTCCGAGTTCTAGCCATGATAGTCTGTTCTCCAACAACAGCTTACCTCTAATTACCAACATGTTGAGGGTGTAGCCCACTTTAATGTCGATCAACAGGCGTTCGTACATACTTACCTCGTACGCGTTGTGCAAACGCCAATTGTAGCTGATGCTATAAAGACAGATAAGGATAAGTAATATGTAATTGTAAGGCTTCAGGCATGACTAGCAACACAGTTCAGATTGACCACAAACAAGCTTTATAGTGCTTCATCTATTTGTAAGTCGGTGGACGTATCTCTATGCAAACTTATCGATTCCATATGAAATGTAGATGCCAAGGGCGGACTGCATGCAGATGTTTAGGACATCAAATGAGTCGCCAGCATTAGCGATCCCATGTTCAGCATGGATTATATTCTGCAGCTCGAACACATACGCGTGACTTTTATGGCGCAAGCGGATGGTAACTATTAAATATTACGTGTCTCCTTCGAGCTCACGTTGAGCTCTTTAGCTTTCTGGTTGCAGTTTTGGTAGCGGTATCATAGCTGGTGATTTTCGCGTGCTCGCAGGAGACGATGTGATGGATAAAATAGCGGACTAGACTTCTTGCCACTACATTCGTGTCGGCGATGCTGCGATAAACCGGTTAGGAGATCCAGGAGGGTAGGAAAAGAAAGTTATGCTGATGGGTGAGTAAAGGGAAGCATTCCCGGAGAAATCCGGCCCAACGGATAAGCCATTTGCCTCGCTCAGAAAGTACAACGGATGTGCAAATGTACTCGTTCAACGCGCAGCAATCGTACAACGCACTCATTTTGGCATTTTCTGTACGCCCTAGCAAGCACGTGATATTTGATGTCAACGATTCACATGGTAGAAGAGAAATACGATGGGCACTAGAAGTGGAGATGTCGGAGAGATGCAGATATAGCAAGTGCCTTTACGATCACAGCTGATTCGATGAGGCTGTAAGGTGCTCGCGTAACTATCGCATGTACAGCGCTCGAGAGGGCTTATGTTGACGCCATTTTTGATCGCTATCGGCATTCTTGCGCGTTATGTAACGGGGTTACACGTCATTTGGTAACCGACATAAATGTGTGGTTCACACCAGGGAGGAGATCCCATTGAAAATGATATTAGAACACCTTATCAGTTGTTGGTGGCTGACGCGCGCCAGCCACCAAATACAATAATTTAAAAAAGGTGCTAATTAGAGCATTTGTGTCCAGATTATGTACGTTTAGTCTAAGATGTCATTGTAGATAAAACAAAAAAAAGTTCAGTTCCCTTTCTGATCTTATGAAGACACGTGCCTTCTTAGACGTCTCACGTCGTAAGAGAGTCGAGCCTTGTAAAGGCATAGACTCCTGGGGACATTTTGCAGTCGATTCGCTGAATCGTTAGGTCCCTCATACAAGGACCTGGAGCTTTAAGCTCGTTGACTCGTACAATCGAGTTCTTGTAAAGAACTAGCTTGCTCGTTAAGCATAATAACTTCATCTGGCTAGGAGCTATGCAAGCTCCGATACACATAATGTCTTGCATGTAGAATCGTAAGTGGCTTCGTCCGACCGGTAGCGAGATCCTAGCAACCGCTGAATCATCTTTGTGTGGTCTTCACAACTATATTAATTTGCGCGCAAGTTTAACAATGTCAAGATCCGTGGAGGTAGACCAATCTGACTGGAAGGTATGTCAGCGAGTATGACAATGTGTATGGTATCGTGAAATTTGAATTGTAGAAACTACAAACTAGACAAACGCAAACGACGTACCGCTATGGCTGATGCGATGAGCCACAATACAGGATGTTCCCCTCTGTTGTCATCACCAGTGTAAGCACTATATTCTTAAGCTTTGCTAAAAGCCACCAGACAGGGTATATAATTTACATCTGTAGATATGTGGACGCAAAGGGAGGTAATCAGTCATTGAGGTGATCTAAATACATTATAGCTCTCATTTAAATCGTCAATGGTAATCGGCGGCTCAATTTCAGCTCTTTAGTGTCATCAGAATTAGGTTAAGATATCTGTTGCAAGCTCGTTGAGCATAAGCTAGCGAGGATGTGGAGGTCATCGATAACTGTGCTTGTGCACTACAACTGCTCGAGTTAAAACATGCGGAATACGCCTTTTTGCTTGATGCGTCATTTGAATCTAAGAAGTAGCGGTGTTACCCATGTGAAGGTCATAACTAGCACAACTACTGCGCAATGTCCGCCAACAAATTATATGATGAGAAGTTTGTGAGAAGGTGATGTATAGTTATGTACGCAAACGACCCCCCGTAAATCCTGCGGCTGGGCAACTTAATTAACGAAACGATGAAAAATTTATGGACTAGATTCACTAGGCATCAGACAGACGAGCGCATACGCACAGAATCTTGTCTCGATATAATTATATTCCGAGGTATCTGCGGGGCGCGTTATGACGTGTTGATAGGTGTGAGATACCTCTAAACAGTGGTTGACATCATTGTCGATAAAAGCCGTAGATTCCCTGACTACACATTGTTCTGACAAATCGTGCAACTTAATAGAAGCTACTGTGCGGATAGCGATAAGCGCCAGTGGATCTGACGTTTTGTTGTATGTGCGATAACAGTGTCTCCAGCTAACTACATCGATATCGCTATTGATGGTTCTTGCTTCTCTCAGTAACGCACCAAGTGCGTTACGCACTTGCGTGGAGGGTGTAAAGTTTATAGATTCAAAAGTACTACCGCACTGTCGCATATAACATACAGAGGTGAAAAGACATTGTACTTTCGCTTGTCGAAGTCCGTGCACGAGATTACAATCGTCCGCAAAAATCGTTAGTGGTGTCGGTGGAACCATTAGCTATGCTCGACACCCACATGACGCAAGCGGCGCGCGCATGAATGTGGCGTTAGACAATGACGGATCTATCTTCTCCCAGACCGGAATTATCGCGGGACCCTCCGTCAAAAGGTATTCGGCAAAGCACTAAGCACCGTTTAATAGGCATCATGTATTCAACAAGGCGCCACCGGGAGATAGACTCTTTAACTTTTATCGGGTGGGCTTCCATCGTTGGCGTTCAGTTCATATGGGTAACGCGCATGAGCGCTGGATGCACGCCAAAAAGTGGAGGAGTCCCACTGGCTGTAGACGCGGCTATATCGCATCTCGACATCGACAAGACTGGTTTCACCCCGCGTACTATGCCCGTATCGAAATGAGTCAGCAATATACAATCACTAGTGAGACGCCGATTATAAGTTGGTGCTCCTTTGTCGAATGCGCAATTAAGAACCTCGGCTCAAGCTCCCCTAAAACAAGTGATGAAGAATTTTATAAACGGGCGAGGCACAAGGACCCAAAATTCTGCCCCTTCGCCATCGATTGGGTTGCCATGTCACATGTGGGCGAAATTTAGACCATGCCACTCTGAAATTATCACTGAAGATATGGTGTTGCCAAGGTAAGACTGTACCCTAAAAACTTTATCTCCGTTCAAACTATACGCCTGGCCCCTTTTATTTCTCAGCCACGACATATCCTGGAGCGTGGCGTGCACCAGCCACCTGCGGTCTAACCGCCCCGGTGCCGCTACTTCAGCTCTCATCCCGGCACGAAGTCTGTCATCAAGTACTTGGCTAACATCAATTGTGACACTGTCGTCGTCATTATAGTCGACCTCGGCTCTACACGTGAACGAGACGGCATGTCGGAAGACCTATTTGACCTCACCTTGACGAGCATGTCGAGCTGCTGTAAGTCCAACAATTTCGTAACCGGTAGCCATAGCGTCGCTCGATATCGAGGATGGTTGTATTTCGTCCAACAAGGCATGATGTAGAGCAGACCCGACTCAGTTGAAGACCCATAAAAAGTCACCAATCAGTAGATCGCACGAAGAAACAGTAGCGGCCCACTTCTGAACTGCTGCCGCCACATAGTCATCATTTCCGTTCGAATACAAGGCATCGCTAGTACACCCTGACGAATCGGTAGTGCATCCATCTCGAAAAGGATCTAGGTTCGAGACCTCTGGACTTTATAAACTACCCAGGCATGGTCAAAAATTGATTTTGTGTAACCGGGTCATTTGGCGGGATGAGGCCAATAATGTTGTGCTAAGAAAGTAATTTTTTGGAATTGCGATGGCACTGGCGAGCTGATTTCGTTGTTCCGCGGTGTGAGTATTCTCTCTAGATAAAGCAATTTGGCTTTGTATAGAACGAATACAATTGTGTCAGTCATCAGTCACCGCATACTGCTGTCCCACCATAACATTAAAGTACAGGCAGGGGTATCCGGAAGAGTGCAGAATGAAACTACGTGTGTCTAGAGATAGTGCAGATTCGCGAGGGTCCAGATCAATGACCATTGTTTCTTCTGATGGGTCAAGAGACTCGTCACGTGAGCAGGATCATCGAAAAGATTACAACCGGCTTAACCGCAATCCTATCGCGTAGGTATACTGCAGTATCGTCCGTGTAGCACAAAACTTTGAGCTGGGTAGTCCGCCCTCTGGATGTGATAGATAATTTGAAAATGTTCAAACTCGCTTCGATCACCCGGTAGACACTATCAAGGGTGTTAATAAAGAGAAGAGGTGCAAGGGGCACCCTTGACAAAATACAAATAAATTCACATTGACTTGATCAATTTCTAATCACGAGAAATAGCGAGTTGTGTTGCGGTATAAGGCCTCCTCGACTAATACGAAGTGAGGCGAAAGTATAAGCCAT